ATTTATGCTTTTGCTTATTTATTAACTTCTCTCTCCTATTTTTTTGTAAGATTGTTCTGATATCGCTTCCTAGCTTTTACATGACAGGTAACAGATCTCAAACATATACTGGGTTTAGTTAGTGACACTTATCAAGCTATGTGTTTAGGATATAGTTGAATATGGCTCCTGAGGGAGCTAACTTTTCAGTTGAATTAAGAAGAGAGTTGCTAGTAAGCTGCTTAGCAGAGTCTATCAACTGTGATTTAGGGCCCACTTAGAGCTGCAGTATGAAAAGTAGTAGTGTTGCAAGAATATGTTTTTGTGATTGCAGCCCCAAATGGGCACCTAGTTGAATATTTTGTATTGTTGGTCATTTGTCGAATCTTAGCCTCCATTTTGTAAAAAAAGGAAACATTTTGTCTTAACATTTTCTCTAAAAGCTTAAATTTGCTGCCCACGGAAACTATGTTTAATCCACTTGTTCTTACATCAGAAAACTGTTTTTAAATTTCTGCCATTTCTTCTTACCCATTTGTACCTTCTCAAATTTGCATTTGTAACTCTTTTTTTTATTACTGGTGAGCTGTGAATTTGCTGATTATCTGCTTTCTCGAGCTAGATTTTGATTTACAGATGTAGAGCTTTCTAGTAGCTTAACTTTCTTAGCAAGTACTCACAGTTCCAAGTAAATAAATAAATAAATAAAACTCGTGGTGAATCCTCCTTTTTAAGGATGGGATTGGTGTTTTGGTGAGCTAAATTGATGTGGAAGGACTGATTTTAGTGGCAAGGGAGCTTCTAGCGAAGTGGTATGATTGTTGAAGTACTCAATTATTTTGTAGTTAAGCCATTTTATGACCAGAACCCATTACCCTGATTTTTGAGGCAGTCAAAGAGTTCAGTGTTTGCATCTATACATTTTTTAATTGCATCAACAGCAGGTCATAGGCAAATGTGTTAGAATGGCATTGTGGTCATATGACTGGGCATGCATGGGGTTATTTACCTATATGGGTCGTGTGGAAATACATACCTAAGTTATATGCTTGCATCTGCTTCGTTTGCAAAATTTTTGGGTCTGCTATTATTTATGACCTTGTATTTTCTAGCTGCTGATCTTCCTCGCCTGCTCCTGATGTGCCATCTCGCTTAATTACCACCTTCCTCCCCCTCTTTCCCTCTCTGAACTAAGTGTAACTGCCTTTTCTTTTTTTTCACTTGCTGATCATATGTTTTTTAAAAAGACATTTCACACAATTTTGTTTGCCTTCAAACAGATTTTTCCTGTCTCTTTTGGTTTAGAGATCTTCACTGTTCTGTACGGTATTGCAGTGCAGGATGTTGTTTTATTCTAGGAATTTTTTCGTTGCCCAAGCTAACTCCAATTCTCATATTTAGACCTTGAATTTGGTTTAAATTTAAGTTTCATGGGGTTTCCTATGATAATCATTATATGATGCATTGTGATTCTTCCTAAGGCAAACTGTTGATCTGCACAATCTGGGTGTGATAGCTTGCTCCCTGAAGGGGTGGACATGTGGCAAGGATTTTTATATTCCTTGATGGTTTTATGATTTTTTTTCCCCAATCTATTTCATTTACGTGCTAACTTTGTTGTGTGCAAGTTGGTCAGGGTTTAGTTCCTTGAGACGAAAAGAAGTTGCTATCAAAGGCATCATGGACCCTGTCAGATATTTGGTGCTTGCCTCCTAATATAGTGCCTAGCTAGATTGTTTTAGGGATAGAAGAGGGTTATTTCTGTCCTCAAACCCATATTCTGAATTGGATATTAAGTTGTTAGGTAATCAGTCTTAACTTCCTGTAAATTGCAAATTCTAGTTGTATTGATATTTAATGGTTACTGGTTCTTTGAGTTTTTATTTTCCATTAATCACATCATACTGCATTCCTCTATGGTTCATTGATATGGATTGATTTTGGCTGTCGTCTGCTCTGCATGCTTCACCTTCACCTGTATGATGCTAAATGCTTGTGGCCCTCGTTTGCCTTATGTGGATTCTTTGTTCGTCCCACATGTGCTGCTTTGTGAAAGGTAGCTTATCTTCACTTTCTGTGGGTCATTTTCTTTTTCCCTTTGCAATTCTTTTAAATACTGTTCGTCCCACTGATGTAATCTCGAGCATGTTTCATGCCAAGATGATTCTGTGAGATTGCAGGTGTTTGTATTGTTTTGATTTCTTTTTAGTTTGAATTTGCGTTCTTCAAAGTTCAAACTGGTCTTGGTAGTGAAGCTTGGACCAAGTTCTGTATGGTAACCTATGAGGTATTCATGAAATGCCGAAACTGACTCTTTGTTTGGACTATAAGTGGTCCAAGTGATTGCTATGTGTTGTCTGGGAGGAATTCTCGTTGTCCAGGACAGCACGAAATTATTGTTCGAGAAAGAAGACATCAATGTTCGTTAAACATATTCAGTTTGAAGGTAGGTAATGGAAAAAAATTGTCAATTTGTAAAAAGTTAGGAGGAAAAAACTGGAGGGAGAGAAATTTTGCAATGGTTTCTTAGCGTACTGGCAAATTTTTTCTCCACGCTCTTCTGCGTGGTACTTCAAAATGGGATGGTTGCAGCAATGCTATTGTCGTAATCTTGAATTTATTAATTCTTATATTATTTCTTACTTAAATCTGGTAGGTATTTTTGAAATAAAGTTCTTCCTGTGGGACTCCTTGTCTAGTGCATCTCATGGAGATACAGTGTGCGTTCCGTGAATCAAGAAAGATGATAACCTAAATGGTTGATTATTAAATTTGAATTTGACGTTATTTCAGTTGTAATAGATAAAGAAGCCATGTCCTTTTTTGACAAATGATTCAATTATTGGTCTGGCGTTGTTGGTTGCATGGGGATCATAACAAGGTTTAGGAGGAAGATCTCGTCTTGGTTTTTTTTTGTCCTCAAATTCTCGAATAGCTAAATTCCCAATTGATCGCAAGTTAACGATAACATGACGGCTCCTAATTGTTATGTCGTGGTACACATCAGTCTATCTGAATATTATGATTGCATGGCATAACAGACCTTGCTCAGGTGATGAGCCAGTGCATTTTTATTGTCATAATCTGCTGCAGAAACTTTATAGGATGTGTCTACCTCAAGAAAAAATGTTACAGAAATGTAAAAATTGAAGCAAAATTTTCCAAATTCTAAGAACTGTATGCCTACGTTAATTTGTGTTTGTGAAGTTTATATGTTGTTTTATTTTCATCCAAAACCTTTGATTTTGTTTGTGTCTCACTTTTGTTCCAATCAGTCTATATTTTTTACTTTTGTTTCAATTTATCTCCACCAATCATTTATGTTATGTGTATGAATTTCAATTTTAATTCTGAAGGTTATGAAATATCATAATATCATCTAAAAAATAAAGAAAAAAAGTAAATGAATTGAAATAAAAAAAAATAGAAAATCAATGGAAGAGACATTTATTAAAATAAATATAACATAATTTAAGATGGCTAACTTCTCAAAAATTCTATTAACTTCAATTATCACTTAGCAATTTTATTTTTCTTTGTCAATGTTATAGTTAAACAAAATTTAAGATTCAAATTAATTTTATTCTTCGTTATTATTATTATTATTATTATTCAAGACTTTCACAATTCTAATTCCTCTCATCTCACCTATCACGTACTTTTCTTTTTTTTTTTTTCTTTTTTTCTTTTTGGTCATAAAATAACACTTTTGAAATATGTAAATAATTTGTCAAAATTATATTAGGAGAAAGTAGCGCACTAATTCTATGTAGGGATGGCAATGGGGTGGGGTGAGGCGATGTGGGGCGGGGTGGGGATAGCCCGTGTCTCATTCGGAGCGAAATTTCGTTTTTCATCCCCGTTCCAAATGGGACAGGACAGGCCTCGTCAAATTATATTTTTTAAAAATAAAAAGACAAGGTAGAGCGGGGATCATCATTCCCATCCCTACCTCGCCCATAAAAAAAAAACTCATCAAGAGGACGGGACGGTTTCGGGATGGGTTGGATTACCATCCTAATTCTATCCTCCTTTCTCGCTATTAGGAAAACGCGTGCTGCTGTTACTATTTTTTCACCTATTCCAACAGGTTTTCACAAGCAGATTTGAAAACCGAAGATAAGTTGGACTCGATTGGTACTGATATGGCAGAACTTAACATACACACTGAAATACTAAAGGATATAAGAAAAATTACTGCACAATCTTACTATATAAAAAGTATTTTCCTCATTTAAGTCTTGGGGGAAGGGAGCCATGGGTTTTTGGTGCTTCAGAAGACTATTCACTGAAGTCTAACCCATGCAAGCTAGTAAATTCAATGGCAATATGCTTTCCAGCAGCTTTTCTCACAGGTTTACTCAAACTACCATCCCATTCCATTCATATGATCAGATTTCATTTTCCTTATATAGAATTCTTATTAAAAAAAAAAGAATAAAATTTATAAATATAATATGTGAGAGAGTGCATGAAATTTCGATAGGAACAGTGGTGGATGATATTAGTATTAAAAAGTATTTTATATCATAATTATTTTTAACTTAATTTTATTATTGCATTATCAAATAACTGATGATAGATAGTGTTGATTAAAAACAAAAATACTTTTCTTATTATATCAGTTTTAATGAAAAATTATCTTTCTTTAATAATTTTTTCAATTTCAATTTGTTCATTCTTAGATTTTAGATTATATTGAGATATTCATAAATCTCAAAGATAAAATAAAAAATATACAAAGCAGAATAAAATAAAAAGATATGGAATCTAATTAAAACAGACCAAAAGTTTTAGCTAACATTGAGAAATTTTTGCAGCTAAAAGTTTGTTAAATGAATACTAATATAAATAATAAAAAGTGGGAGCCCTAGTCAAACTTGTTTTATAGCTTCGGTGGCACACGAGTCCCAAACTAAGCCGGGAGGTCTAGAGTTCGAAACCGCCTTCTCTTTTGTTTCCACACATTTTTCTTTTCTTTTCCATCATCTTCTTCTTCATAAGTAATCGAGCTTCGATCCATGGCAGATAAAGTCGATTCATCTTCTCCTTCTACTAAAAAGGTATTATCATATTACTTCGAATCCATCACTGTTTGTTTTCGTTTTCGATATCAAGATTCTCGAATCAATTCAGATCTGAAATTCTTCTTATGAAAAATTTGATGTGTTGCAGCTTAGGTTCAAGCCGAAACTTCCACCTTCAAGACAGAAAAAACGCACCGTCTCCAAAACGTACTCACTTCTTTGTTTACTTCTTTTTCCTTCTCTTCGCTGTATATCCCTTCACTAGGATTATTTGATTGAAATGTTTTATCTTTTCTTTTTCCAAATATATAAGGTTAGATTTTTTTATGCAGTGAAGTCATAAATGATAATAAAAGGAGTGCTGAAGATGAAGCAGGTGTCCAGGCTAAGAGGCTCATGGACCAATTCAATGTATGTTTCTATATTATCTTTCTCTCTTGTTAAACGGTGGTGGATTTCGAATCTTTCCTATCCTTTTCTTTATTATCTGTCTTTTCACCTTTATTTTTGCTGAATGAATGGTCATTTATGTGTTTAGTAATTTTTTTGTTTTGTTTTTCTTGTCAAGTCAACTACTTGGACCGACTTTTAACATTTGGACCCAAAAGAAAGAATAATTATATTTTGGTCCTTACTGAGGTTAAATCTTTTTGAGCAATGCTCGTTTTATAAACATCACAACCCAAAATAGTTCAACCATTGAGTTTGTGGGACCCACCGGGCCGGTTTATTCAACGCTTGAGATTTTTTTTCCTCGGATTGTGATTTCGGGAAGAATCTTCCGGCATGTGGTGCCTTTAGTCATAAACACAGTAGTAATCATTATTGTTCTTGCAGTTATAAATTTATAATGTTGTATTTATTATAAGAAAAACCAACTTTTTACCAATCCACCACCATCTGATGATTGCCTGCTTCTTAAGGTTCTTCACTAGCACTATTCTATGCATGTCCTCGATGGAGTAATTATAGCAGTATCTATGAATGCTACAGACATCCAGTGCTTATCGAAATGCAATGCTAATATGGCAATTTACTCGCACATTATAGGTCAAATTCATGTTCTTACTGAAGTGTGATTTGCTTCTGCAGGAAAATCTCAGAAGACAAGTCCCTAAAGAAAAGAAACGTAATCTCTCTTTAGCTTGGACATTCTATGCTGTCTTCTTCATATATTTTGAATTATTATTTGTATTTTATCTTTGTTCTGTTTTGTTTGTCTTAACTAAGATTGCTAACATGGACCAAGCTTCACTGTCAAATCTCATATTGATTTGGCAAAAGACATTTGGGTTAAAATTCAGTATGCAACTAAAATATGTTAGCAGTAATATGTGGCAGATGAAATTTAGGGTACCTTGCTTCCAGTTTGTGTTCATTGTTAGACTACGTTACCTTGCATAATAAGCTTTAGAATGGTAAAAATTGATGGTATTGGCGCCTGCATTCGAAACATTTAGTACTTTTTTTAATTATTGAATCTGCAGCCTTGTTGTTGCAAGCTCGAGCCTTTACCATTGCCAATAAGCTCTGAACCTAATTGGTTACAGTGCTATATGCGTGCCAATTGCCACTTAAAAACACGAGAAGAGTGAATGAGGATAATTCGTGTGCTGGTACTTGATGGTTTTTCTTGACAGTTTAACCATCCTTATAATGGTTGGAAGGGAATACAATGCTTGTGATGGACCAGATTTCTCAGAGTCAAATCTGCGCTACCAGAAGAATAATTGTGGGATGAGTTAATTTGAAATATTGTTGCTGTGATATCAATCATTATTATCTACTCATGTTTGAAGTTCAAACCTGCAGCTCAAGTACAAGTTGCTTTTGGGCCGGGTGCACCATCGCCATCTCTTTTGATAAGGAAATATAATGTTCCTGGGCATGAGAAGACTGGTAGCAGCTGGCCAGGGACAGAAGATACTATGGATGATGATGGGAAAATTGTTTTGCCTCCTTCAACTGCCAGACTAGATGGAGCTACTAATGCATTATCCCTGAAAGGGAAGAAACAATACAAAGAACCATGGGTAAGGACTTCTCTCTCTCTCTTCTCCATTCATCTCATGCATACTAAGATCTGGTTTTCTTGATGCTTTTGCAGAATTACCACCGTACCTATTATCCAAATACTCTTCCTTTGAGGCTGCCTTACTCTGGTGACCCTGGTAAGTTTTAGATGCATCTGGAAGAGTACAACATATATTTAGTGCTGTTGTTGAAAGCACTTTTAAACCGAATCTCTCTGTTTCTTTCCTTCTGTTTCCATTTTCATGTTAGACTATTCCATTTTCCTTTTTATAGCTTTAATTGCTAACATCGCACCCATGGATGATGGAACATTATTTTTAATATTAGAATCTCCTCAAAAGTGTGGTAAGGAAAAACAATGACCTTAGTTCTCAAAACCCTAAATGGTTTTATTTCATGCCATTAATTATTGTCATGACTACTCACAAGACCTAGAGGTTTCGTAAGTTTTCACAAGAATTTTGTGATGCCTTTTCTCCAGCTCTTTAATGCCTTGTTGTTAGGCGTCATTCTGTGATGCTGAGTACAATATGCTTGTTTTTGCTTTTAGAGCTTCTTGACAAGGCTGAGTTTGGGGAGGCAGCAAAGAACTTGGAGTATGATGAGAATAATATCAATCCTGCTTCTGATCTTGGGCTGTTGGTTGGTGTTCACATTTATAAATTCCTAGCTTTGAAACTTTTATCAGTTTTCATTTACGTAAGCATCCTTGTTAAAATAAACTGGTGATTGGGGCAGGAGGAGTGTGACAATGAAAGGTTATTTTTCTTCCAAATTCCTGAAAAGCTGCCCTTTTTGAAGCGATCAGCAAGTGCAAAGGGAAAAGAGAAAGCTGAAATTTCAACGCCATCAGAAAGCAAGAGTGCTTCTAGGAAGACCAGTTTTGAAGAATTACCAAAGGGATATATGGGCAAAATGCTGGTTTACAGGAGTGGAGCAATCAAGCTTAAGCTTGGTGATACACTGTATGATGTAAGTGATGTTACACAATCTCTTTGCACATGTTGCATGTACATGCGAGTGCATTCTCCCAAGCAGACTTCTTTGGCTACTCATTTCATAAAAATAATAATGGAACTTTTAACTTATCTCACACTGTCTCTGTTCTCCCAGTTTTTGAGACGTTAAATCAGATAGATTCTATAGGGCATTAGGACCGCAAACTAGATTTGCATCATGTATTTACAATCCTGAAAAGAGTTTTAAGTCAATTACTCACTGTTTTCCTTAATACGCTTGAAGGAAATCTGTTTTTATCATTATTTGGAGTTGCATATATGCAATTCAATGCTTATACTGGTTATGACTAAACAGTTAGTTGGCAGGTTTAGGTTCTTATTATATCAGCCAAATTTGGCATAGTTCTCCATTTCTTGCGAACTGCGTCAACCAAGAAAAATCTTTTACGTCGTAAAGGAGAATTTATCAATCACTTAATGGGTTGCTCGAGTATCTTAGCTGTGTTTCTGAGATTGCATGTCACTGCTGGAACCCTGCTTTAAGAATAAGAATTGTATTTTCTTAATTTGTGACACTGGAGATCCTTTTCACATATAATGTGTTCGTGAATTCTGTATGCATGTCATTTTATGAAGTGAATAAGCCTTTTGCATTCTTTTCCTCGAACTAATGGGGATAGGTTTCCTTTTTACCATCAATAATTTGGAGTTTTTGCATGAGGCATTCAAAAGGCTGACCACTTCATGATAGGCCTTCTTGTAGGGAGGAGGTATACTGCATTTATCTTGTGTTTTAGTTACACTTATCCACTGATCTTAATGATTACTGCAGAGGATGTAGATTTTCCTCTGCTCTAAATTAGAAACTACATCAGACCATATATGTTTTTCTATGTTCTCCGAATTAAGATCGGATTAACACACTGCAGGTTTCACCAGGCTCAGAGTGTACGCTTGCTCAAGATGTTATGGCGATCAACACTGCAGGTAAAGATTGCTGCGCTATTGGAGAGCTTGGGAAGCGTGCTGTTGTAACTCCTGATATTGATTATAACTTGAATTCTGTGATCAACTTGGACTAAAATGCAACAATAGACGCATTAGAGTAGGAATGGTACATAGACCTAGCAGCGGTAAATAAGCAAGTAGGATTGGGTTATTTCTGACTGGGTAGCTAGTGAATCAATCTTGGGCTTTTGTAGGATGTCATTATTGACCTATGTGTTCTTCAGGCATTCTTAAAGTTGATAGAAAAAATGTATCCCTTTTGCTTGTTGCGTTTATGCTTTTACGTTGTTGATGATGGTCTTCTTCTTTGTCCAACGGCTAGTTGTTAACAGCAGAGTTGGGCAGGATTGGACATAAACCACATTTTCAAAAATGATGCATTTTAGTTAATTGATGAGTTGCAGCTATTTACAAACTGATGCAATTTTAGTTATTGAAATAAAAGAACCAGCGGTTAAAGTGCTTTGATCACAATAACTTAAAACTTAGGAACAAATAAGTTGCCATGATAAGGAAAGAAAAAGAAAACAAGGTTTGGAAACAAATTATAATCCTTATTAGTTCGTGTTAGTTTTAGGTTTGGAATTCTTAAATCACTCGATTTGTTCCTAGATATAGAGTATATATAGGTATGTGTGAAAGCTACAAAGTTGTGTATAGCAGCTTTTATAAACTAGATTATCTTATCAATGGAATGGTATTTTTTGTGTTTAATAATTTGGATTTCCTGCGACGAGAAAGATGAAAAACATACCAAAGTAAAAAAGTTAGCAAGGAGAGAGAGAGAGAATAATAAACAAGACAAGGATGGAAACCTCTTCCACAACCAAGATGGAAGCTCCTAACAAGAGGTGAGGAAGTTCTCTTGGGATGTGCGTGTGTGTGAGAGAGAGAGAGAGGGGGAGGGTTTAAAGTCGAGATTCTTGTTGTTGCATTATTTAAAATAATCATGCAATGGGAAAATAGTATTTAAGCAAATGTTCTTCTTTCTTCTTTTTCATTCTGATTAGCTCTTTCTAGCACCAATCTCAAGTTTGCACTCAACATGGCCTTTTTATTTTCTATTTATTTAAAAGAGAGGCAAAACTATAAAGGAACTATATATATAATCTTACAAAGGTTCGGAGTCAAAACTCCGTAAATATTTTTTTAACAAAAGATCGAGACACTAACAAAACAATAAAAAAAATAAAAAACACCTAGCTAGCCAAAGGAAGTGAGCAGGAAATGTTAGCTAATTTACGAGTCTAATTAGCCTTTCTATAAATATGAAAAATCTAAATCTGTCACAATTTTTACAAGATGTCATAAACGGTGTCGCTATCGGACTTCGGACGGGACTCCCGAAACAAAAAAAAAAACAAATCTCTTATATTACTCATTTCGATTTTATTTTTATTTACAAAACTATTTACGAGTTTGGAGTCGCCACCTAGTATTGAAGGAACTAGGAACCTAAAATTGACACTCGGTTCGGAGATTCTATGATAAGGAGGCTGGTTACGCTTATGGGAAGATAATTAATCACCCAAAAGTGCCCTTTCCTAAGAAAGGTACCACGTCTAGCTTAGTCCTAAATTATCTCTTAAAGTATTTTATTTTCGCCAAATTATTTTTTGATTTTTTGAGACTCCAATTTTTCGAGTCAAATTAAGTTTTTTATTTTTGAGCGTGTCATCGTATTGAAACGATCGTCGGACCCCTTCCGTTGTGAGACACGTCGGTTCAAACATCGGATTCATTGTTTTTTAGTCTCGACACAACCGATGTGTCGGAGAACACTTGTTTATTAAAATAAAATTTTTGGCTAACAACGAGTCCCTATCGGATAGGAGACTTTGTTAAAAAGTTTTATGATTTTTTTATTTTTCTTTCTTTATTTTTTATTTTTATTTTTTTATTATTTTTTTTTTAATAAAAGATTGTCATCGATCTCTAAAAACTTAGAAGACTTGACAATCTTCTACTTATTACTTACTGAACCTAATTACTAAACAAATAAATTAAAGCTACATGAATTAAATAAAAGAATTCAAATACCGAAATTTAAATTAATAACGAGCATGCATAACAATAGTTAAAATTTAAAATCACATTAATTAAAATATTGACGAGACGATTAAAATATTAAATTCCAAGTTAACATAAATTAACAAACATGCATAAAATAAAACTCCAGATTAAAAATTACATTAATTAAAATAATTAAAAAAAATTCAATAGCTAACTTTAATATGAAATAACAATATTCATAAAAAAAAATTTTACTCTTTTTTTTTTGGGTTTGGGCTGGATCGTCCAGCCCACCCAAAGGCAACATTTCGGGCTAGACAATCCAATCTCTATCCCAGTGAGTTTGGGCTCACTTAAAATAAAAGACTAAGTTTTTTTGGCCCAAAAACATAACCCAAATCTAGGCTTTTAAAATTTTGGATCAAAACCCATTTTTTCATTTTCCTTCCTCTTTCTCTCTTTCTCGTTTTTTCCTTCTCTCTTTTTCCTTTCTTTTTCTTTCTTCTTCTTCTTCCCTCTCCCGACCGAATCTAACCTCTAACCGGTTCGTCCCTCCCCCTCCCCCCCCCGCCTTTTTCTTCTTTCTCTTTCTTCTTTTCTTCCTCTCTTTCTTATTCTTCTTCTTCCCTCTTTACCATTCTCTCTCTTTTTAAAAAAAAAAAAAAACGTTGCTGCTTGCCATGGACGAACCAGATGGAGGTTCGTCCATGGCTACTTGATTTTGCCCTTTTCTTTCTTTCTTTTCCCCTTTCTTTCCTTCTTTTCCTTGCTCAATCAAAAACCCCCAAATCAATTTCTCAATGTTCTTCCTCAATTTTGGCCGAAACCCTAGGTTTTCAATTTCTTTAATTTTCTTTCAATTAGACTTGATTGACTTGAAATCAAGTCAATTCATACCCTTTAGGACTCAATTTTTTCAAAACCCCTAAATCTATTTTTCAATTTTTTTCATAATTTCAAAAATCCTTAAATTTTAAATCAAACTTAAATTGTGTAAAAAAACGAAATTAAAGAGAAATTCGAGGGAATTACCTAAAAGAATTGGTGGAAATGGATGTGGATTGCAACTTCAATTCGAGTAAATTTAATCTCTCTTTTTTTTCCTTTACTCGTCGATTTTCCTTTTTTTTTATCGCTACTCTTTTCTAATTTGCGAGTTTCCTTCTTCTTAATTTTCGGACTCACTACCTTCTCTCTCTTTTTTTATTCTTTTTTATTTAATTTTCGGACTACCTAATTTTATCTAATTTTCGAATCGAATCCCCCTCTCTTTTTTTTTACAATATGTCCGTGTATATATATATATGTGAATGTGGCTTGGTTCTCCACCATGATGGTGTGAGATTTTTTTGCGGGATATGGAGTGGGCGAGCGTGGCCATTTTGGGTTGTAGGGGATGGTTGTGGCGGGACCGGTAATAGGGGGAAGGCTGTGTAGTGCTTGCCGATTGCAGCATGGTGAGGTCTGCAGAAATTGGGGGATTGCACTGGAGATTGCTGGATATGAGGGAAGTTGTCCGGAGGGGTCGTGCGGGAATTGTAGGGATAAGGGACAACAAGTTGCAATTCAGCTTGTGAAAATGGCAAGAAACTAACCGAAGATGCAAAAGAACGAGAAATACGGGGAACCGTCCATCCATCTCTTCTTCTTCTTCTTCTTCTTTTTTTGTATTTTTCCATTGTTTATATTTTTACCTTTTTTTATTTTGTTCTTAATTCTAAATAAATAAAAGAAAATATTTTTGCTTTTTTTTTTTTGTCTTGATTTTATACAAAGCAAGCCTAAATAAAAATAAAATAAAGAAAACTAAAATAATACATAAAGATAAAATTTTTGGGTATGACAGTTGCCCCCTCTTTACAATTCTTACGATGCAAACATTAATTGAAATATAAATTTCAAGTTGAGTTTGTTTAGTGAGCTTGCAAAGAAGAAAATATGAAAAAAATAAATTAAAATCTACTAAAATGACCTAGTTGGAGATGGAATGTCATGCGAGAATGCAATAAATTATGAAAACAGAGTGCAATGACCTTGTTGTTAAGGACGACTCTACTCGGAAATTAAATGTACAATACAAGAGAAATTTGGAGGGCGGCTAATCCCGAAAAATTGAATATGCATTACATTGTCAACTTGGAGAACGACCAACCCTAAAAAATTAAATATGCGATGCACGACCAAATTGGAGGTCGACCCGCCTTGAAAAAATTAAATACGCATTACATGGTCAACTTGGAGGGTGACCAACCCCGAAAGATTAAATATGCGAGTACACGACCAATTTGAAGGGCGGCTAGCTCGAAAATTAAATATGCATTACATGGTCAACTTGGAGGGCGATCGACCTCGAAAAAATAAATATGCAATACATAGCCAAATTGGAGGGCGGCTAGCCACGAAAAATTAAATATGCATTACATGGTCAACTTGGAGGGCAACCAACCCCGAAAAAATAAATATGCAATACATAGCCAAATTGGAGGGCGACCGACCACGAAAAATTAAATATGCATTACATGGTCAACTTGGAGGGCGACCAACCCCGAGAAAAAAAATAAAATAAATATGCGATACCTAGCCAAATTGAAGGGCGGCCAGCCACGAAAAATTAAATATGCAATGATCGCTAGACGACTCTTCCTAAAAAAGATGAAGATCATTAGGCAACCTTGCCTAAATGATGAACTTAAAACTAAGCAATCTTGCCTAAAAAAAAATCGTTAAGTAACCATACCTAAACGGTTGACTAAAAAAAAGGTAACTCTGCTCGAAAAATGAGAAGATCATTAGGCAACCATGTTTGTATGATGAATTAAAATTCGGCAACCCTACATAGAAAAGATCGTTAGGTAACTCTACCAAACGATTGAGTAAATAGGCAACTCTGCCTAAAAAATGAGATCATTAGGCAACTCTACCCGAATGATGAGTTAAAATTAGGCAACCACCGCTCGAAAATAAAAATATCGTTAGGCAACCCCGCCTAAGAGATGAATTAAATTAGGCAACCCTACCCGAAAATGAGAGTGATCGTTAGATAACCTAGTCTATGACGATG